ACTCAAAGTTCATTTCAGCTGTGCCTCTGAGATGAGAGGCAACACTATTCATGCTTCTTACCTGGTGGGGGGAGAAAAGAGGCAATGAAATTCGGGGTCCTTATGATTTTGTTTGGGGTCTCTTGTTCGTTCATCTTTAAGCTAATACTTTGGCACTTGTGTTATTTTTCAAGATGATGTAACCCAAGGTAAATATACAGAGAGCTGATTGCAGAGTCCACAGTCTGAAGCCAGCAGCTGCTCCAGCCTGTCCTGCCAGCCTTCAGATTCTTCCCAAGGCTCCGGCAGTAGTAGGGGACAGGGCACCCAGGGAGGCAGCAAGACTGCAGGTGGGCAGATGGGGCTATGATGTAGCAAATTCCAACCCCTGAGTGCCGCTGGCTCCTCTCCAATTAACCATGTGGCGACTGGGAAGACCAGGCTCCTAATGTAGGCGGTATGGGGGATGTGCTTGCTTTCAGTGCCATGATGCCGTTATTTCAAGTAGCAATTGGGATTGTATAGTGCCAGGGATTTTATTTTTTAAAGGCAACTTTTTAAAAGCTATTAAATCACATTTCACAAGAACTTCTTAACAAAAAAAAAAAAAAGAAAGGAAAGGAAAAGAAACCTACACAAAGTATAAAAGTAGTACATATTTACCACAAAATATTAAAAACAAACAAAAAAAGAAAATATCCTGATAGATAAAAGGAAAGATATTATCCACAATACTAATTATATTATATATTTCTATTTTCTCCTCCTAAACTTATACAATCCCTATAAGAAGTATCACTATATGTCTAGGTATGGTAGTGGATAACGTCATTATAGTCTTTAAAAGAGTGGTTTGGGGTATATAATGATATACACACAAACGCCAACTATTTCTTTCTTTTTTTGTTTTATTTTTTTGGTGGGGGGTGGAGAGTTTTGGTTTTTTTTTGTGTTTGAGACAGGGTTCTGTGTAGCCTTGGCTGTGGTGTAACTTGCACTGTAGACTAGACTGGCCTCAGGCTCAGAGATCTGCCTGCTTCTGCCTCCTGAGAACTGGGGTTAAATGTGCACACCAGCCACAATTTCTTTACCAAAGTTATGGGAAATCACACTGCCTTGACGCCCTAAAATCACACTTACGTTCATCTGTGCTGTGTGTAAATATGGCTTCCTCTTTGAAGTTATAACAGGTTCCTACCTTTCCTGGACAATTAACAGCAGGAAGGACTCATCCATTCACTCATTCATATAATGTGGGTTTTTTTGTTTGTTTGTTTTGTTTTTGTTTTTTTTTGTTTTTTGTTTTTTGTTTTTTTTTAGTTTGAGACAGGGTCTTGTCCTGTAGCCCAGGCTGATCCCAAAGGGACCCTACTATCTGAACTCAAGGGATCCTCCTGCCTCCATGGAAGATAGCTAAGACCAAAGCTTGACTGACTAACGAACATTTTTGAATAATTTGTGTCAGGCCATATAACAGGAAATGAGCACAAACATTCCACCAAAGTGTTCTGATGGGGCCTGGGAAGACGGCTCAGTTGGTAAAGTGCTTGTTTGAGGAAACCAGTTGAATCCCCAGTACTCATGTAAAATGATGGGCGCGGTAGCATATACTTGTGATCCAGTGATGGGGAGCAGAGCCAGGCAAATTTCTGGGATTAGGTCAGCTAGCCTAGGCTAATTGGTAAGACCCAGGTCACAGATATAGACCCTGTCTTAAAAAACAAACAAACAAACAAAATGGTGCTTGTGGTCAGTAGCTGTGAAATGAGACCTGAGATTGCTTGAATTCTGGCCACACATACACATGCTTATACCCACATGCAAATGTATCCCCCCTGTTTAATTGATATTTATCAAAGGTATATTTGTTGGGTTTAAATGACATTTCATATTAAATTAGGATGAGAAGACACAGTTGGAGTTGATGTGATCAAGGCTAACCTGTCCCATCTACCAACAGGCGCCCATTTCAATCAGAGTGGTCCAGACCCCATTCCCTGAGTCTGGCTTCTTCTGTGTCCTGTTCAACGCTCCCACGCCTCTCTGCCTTCCTTCATGCCAAGCTGCATTCTACCATGGTTCTCTGATCAGAGTTTATGAGTGTCACTCTTGAACTATTTCAGAATTCAAACATCCAGAACATTCTCAGACAAGACTAAAGGTCCTTGTTCCCAGTAAGACCATAGACAGTGTCCAGGACAGGGGCCAGCACCCTGTAGTGGTATATTATTTGTATTTTAATAAATATTTTTTTCCTGAAGACCAGGGACAAAGCTAAGCCACTAGAGATGAGGCAGATCTTTAATCTTTAAATCTTTAATCCCAGTATTTGGGAGACAGAGGCAGAAGGGTCTCTGTGAGTTCAAGGCCACCCTGGTCTACACAAGATCAGTGTAGAAACAAATCCAGGTGGTAGTGGAGCTCACACCTTTAATCCCAGTTTTAGGGAGTCACATGCCTTTAATCCCAGCACTAAAGGGAACATAAAATGGGAGGAGGGAGATGTTTAGGTAACTGAGTTTGTGGTCACCCAGCCTTGGGAGAGGGAAGACTTCTCTAGCGGCCTGGATGCTTTGTTTCTCTGGTTTTGGGGGTAAACCCGAATTTCTATCTCTAGGTTTTTTATTATTCATGCTACAGCACCCCATTTCATTCATCGCTTCCCACAGATCAGAATATGTGCATCACTTCTGCTTGCTTTGCTCTTCCTCTCAGGAACCCTTCCACCCGAACCCATCTCTGGAAAGACTTTTAAGAAAACACCCTAGGAGAGAGGGAGTCAGTGAATGGCCACAAACCCAGGAGTATACGGACAACACAAACTGAACTCAACCAGGAGGGAAAAAACAAACAAACATAGGACATGACTTTGGGAGAGATAGATGATGGATTCAGGGGGAATTAGAAGGGAAATACAATCAAAATACATTATATGCATGTATGAAATTCTTAAAGAATAAAAATGCATCCTTCAAAACAGAAAGCTTTCTACCCTCTGGATTGTAGGCACATCTTTTTTCTACAGTAATGAATGACCTTACCTGCTGTTCTGTTCAGCGTGACAGATATGGATCTAGTTTCAGATTTCCACATGTGGATAACCAACCAGCTTTTGTGGTATCATTTGTTGAAGAGACTATCTTTTCTCCAGTGTATGTTTTTAAACATGTTTTGGAGGATTAGAATAAACTGGAAGATTTTATGCTGGATTCTCAATTCTATTCTATTGATCTATGTTTCCGTTTCTGTGCCAGGACAATACTGGTTTTGTTACTGTAACTCCAGTGTAATTTAAGATTGATCTTAAACTGTGTTGTGATACCTTTCTGCTTAGGATTGCTTTGACCATTCAGGGTCTTTGGTGATTCTAAAATAAAACTTGGGGTTGTTATCTCAAGTTCTGTGAAGAGTCGTGGAGATATATTTTTTTCATGGAGTTTGCACTAAATCTGTAGATTGCTTTTGACGAGGTGGCTATTTTTACAATATTAATTCTGCTAACCCATATTCATTGGAAGTCTTTCCATAGTTTTAATAAGTTAGTTGATGAACTGAATGAACAGTTATCAAGAAACACAAACAGCTAATAAATATTTTAAAATGTATACAACATACTTAGTCACCAAGAAAACACAAATTTAAAATGACATTGAGAGTCTAGCCAGGTGGTGGAGGTACCCACTTTTAATCTCAGCTCTTGGGAGGCAGAGACAGGTGGATCTCAGTGAGTTCAAGGCCAGCCTGGTCTACAGAGCTAGTTCCAGGACAGCCAGGACTGTTACACAGAGAAACTCTGTCTCAAAAAAAAAGAAACAAAACAAAACAAAATGACATTGAGATGATTCTACTTCACTCCAGTCAAAATGGCTATCATTAAAAAACAAAAACAAAACAAAACAAAACAAAAACAAAACAAAAAAAACCCTAAAATCAGGGGATTAAAAATGATCCTGTGGGCAAATGCCTTCTGAGCAAGTATGAGGACCTGAATTCAGAGCCACAGTGCCCACATAAAGAGCTGGGTGTGAGACAACAACTAATTTTAGCTGTCTCCACTGAGGCAGTATAGACAGAAAGACCCACAGGACTCACTGGCCTGACAGTCTAACAATATGATGAACTCTACATTCAGTGAGAGACTGTGTCTCAAAAATAACACGTAGAGTGCACCTACATGTAGCCCCTGCACTATGCCTGGTCTATGGCTCTTATGCACTATTGTACAGTTTGCGAGCTGGGAAAGGGGTCGAGAGAATTAAACACATACACACACAGACAGAGACACAGGGACACGGGTCATCCTTGAAACAAGAATGCCAAGAATGCCAACCTTACTGTGTTCAGGGGCAGCTTATACAGTGCTCTGATCACACCTCAGCTCTCGGGATCTTTCAGCTGCAGCCACCAGAACCCACTCCCCTGTCTCATACTCAGAGCAGCTGCAAACACAGGAAAACAAGTTGTTTAGCTCAGAGCAGCTCAAGCAAGTTGTTTACAGGAAATTCAGGGTCTGGGGGTCCACATGCCCCCAACACCTACATGTGTGCGTCTGAGGGTGTGCGTGCACGCATGCCCACGCAAACACACACTATAGTGTTCTGGCTATATAATGAAGGAAGAAAACACAAGGAGACAGGGAAGGATGGGAGGGCAGTAAGTGGATAAGAAAGGTATGACAATATGAATATACCAGCACAATGACATGAATATACACACGGCACCAAACTATGTTTTAAAATAGCTTAAAGGTTAAATTTTACTTATTTTGTCACAGTTAGAAAAAAATGTCACGATACTAATCTTTTAGTTACTACACTGGAGAAGGCATCTGAGATGCCTCTGATGACCTGGAAAGAGAGGACATTTAACCTTAAGGGGTTCCTTGAGAAAGGCACTGCGTAAGACATATAAAGCCACATGAGTCCCCCAAATGGTAGTTCCTCCTCATGCTAGACTCTCTGGACATACTCAAATTCAGTCTGGAGTCTGTGCTTAGTATGATCTTCCAAGGTTTTGCCTACCTCAAGGATGTTAGATAAATCCAAATCTTGTTTTTAACACAACTCAAGGGTGTCCATGAACATGGTAGAGAGAGAAGAAAGACATCACAGGATGCTGGGGACAGAGCTCTCTTCAGGACTCTAGTTGCAGTCTGTATCCTAGGACCTCAGCAACCCCCTTGGACATCAACTGGTTCTCTCCATCTCACCCTCTAACCTCTGCTCAACTGTCACCTCAGAAGCGCTTTGCCTGCTGGGAAAGCAGCCCCTCCCCACCAACTCATGAGTTTCTACGGAATCACTCTGCCTCCATTTTCCTAGCACACACTACCACTGAAAATTCTTTATTTACGCACTGGTTACTTACTTGATACCCTTGACTGGAACTGGGACTTTCTTCAAAAACTCAGTGGCTGCTTGTAGGATAAACAAACCAAGCAGCCAAATTTGCTATATTTTATATAACAAGAGCTTCCTACCTCACAGAGTGATTCACAAGGAAGGTCAGATGAGATTGAGTATGCCAAGGGGCTGGATGAGAGGAAAGAGGCCACACAGCAATGGGGTCATTGTGCTTCAGGAGAAAGAAGGGCCCTTTGCCAAACCCATGCACCTTGGAGGCCTCTTTCTGTGACTTTGCCCTGGGGTGTGTCTTCTCCTTGCTTCGCCACTTTTTCTAGACAGAGAACACTATCTACCTACAGACCATCCAAACAGAATGAAACTGAATTAGTCCAAAGGGAGAGAGCTTTCTCAGCATAGGCCTCGAAATAGCACGCGGTGCTTCTGAAGCCACGGATCTGCCAGGAGGGCAAACCTAGAGGAAGGCCACAAAGATGCTTGCTGTCCTGGGTCAGCAGTGTTCAGCAAGTATGAACTGAGGTCCTCCCCCCTCTCCTCCCATGAATTCTATCGATGTTTTGGACTCAGCCCAAAAAGAGAAGTGACATTGTGCAATGGGGAGACACGCCTGAAACAGAAAACTTGGATTCAACACAGGGAACCTGGCCTGGAGTAGGCACAGAAGGCTTTCTAGAGACCCATGCCTAAACTGAGACTACAGTACAGAGGAAATTGCAATGAGGGACAGTGAGCGACCTACCCTAAGGAGGAGAGCACTGGGCCTTTATTGCTGTAGTACCCAGCAAGCTGTGCAGAGAAGCCCTAGGCAGAGCAAGGGGTTGGAACATGCAGCTGGAGAAGTAGGCAGCAGACACTCTTACACACACACACACACACACACACACACACACACACACACACACACCTGCAGAGGCTCTGCAGACAAAGGACCCATTCATTAGTCTAGCAATCCAGAGGGTGAGTGGAGTCTGGCTACACCAGAAGCAAAGGAAGCTAAGACAAGCCAGAGTTCACTAGACTGCTAGTAGAGAGGGCTTGGGTTGGGAATGGGCCAGGAATGGAGAACTAGACAGAGAGATGGAGAGAAATTCCAGTCGAGTTTGATCCACAAGGAATATGCTGATAATTCTGAATCACCCAAGGGGACTATCTATCCACCAAGCAGCTTCCCTAGCCTGGCAGAGCAGGGTAAGGACAAACCAGTTAGACTTCCTGCACATTAGCACCCAGGGAAATCTCCGAATCCCAGGAGGAGACATCAGAAAGAAAGGGGAATAAATGGAGGCCTTTGGTGGTTTACATAAAAAAATGGACCCAATCTGCTCAAGATGTGCTATGACTTAAAATATATAAGACTGGGAAAACAGAAAGAATGCTCAATGCAGCACAGTAGCCACACTTGAAAAAGAAACCAGGATTTGATTAGGATTAATGAAATTAAGGAAGACTGTTAAGCTATATGTAACATTTATAGTCTTTGTGAATAAGAAGACATCCACACATTGTTCTGTGATTTAAAATAAATTAAGAGTATAATTTTTCTAAACTTGAAATTCTTGTATGAAATTCTTGTTTCTCCTGCAGATCTTGGTTTTAATGAGTTACATAGAACCGGGAATGCAGTAGAATGATTTCCGACTTCAGCAAGTGTTTGTTTATTCTTTTTATCTTGAGTTAAGGCCAACGACGCTAATGACTGCAAGTAGTAGGGCCAGTCCTGCACCGCCCATCCACTCCCACCCACAGCTTCAACTATCACCTCCATGGACGACTCCCAAAGGCCTCTTTCCAGAAACAGTCTCTCCCTCACAGCAGGTCGTCACTTCCCAAATCCCAGCCAAGGAGAGCCAGCACACCAGCACAAAACCAGGTTCCTCCCTCAGGGTTCTGTCCCCCCACCTAACTCCTTTATTTCTGTGTTTCTGTCAATGGGCACTGAGCCCCAGGAATCCAGAGAAACCCTTCACAGTCATCTTTGATCCTTGATCCAAGTCCCCATTCCCAAATGCTTTGCTAGTTGTCACCATCCGATTTTTCTAAAAGGTTCTTCCCCATTGTTAACCGCTTTTCATTACCAATGACTCCACCCCAGAATATTCTTTTCACACTAGAGCAGTGCTCCTTAAACACTTCCATTCATGACCCATTTTACCTAAGAAATGTTCGCAAGATCTCACGTATATATGTATACCAGACAGGTATACACATCAATCAAACAAAGAATTTCTTTCATACACATTCCATTTTACCATTTAGTAAAGATTAAACCAAATTTGCATATTATGAGATGGATGTCCACATTCATTTTTGCACAAAGAATTCAATATTAGCCGAGTATTGGATATCACAGGACAGAGAGCATCTTCAACATTTTTCAGAGTTAACTGGTAATTTACTCTTATAATTGTTAAAGCTGAGAACAATGTCTCTTTCTCTCTCTCTCTCTCTCTCTCTCTCTCACACACACACACACACACACACACACTATGTATTTCATAATGGTAGAAGTTTGTTTAGAGCCATTTCAGAAACTGTAGGAAATTCTATCTTAATCTCAAGCTAAAATTCATTTAACTTTCTTTTTTAGTGAACCTCAAGTCAGCAATTCAAAGAACAATTATTTAAAATCAAATATACAATCCAATAATAATAATAATCTATAATACAGTCCAAAGGTAAACTAATTTGATATTTCCATACTGAGGAATGACAGTAGGAAAATATTGAAAATTTTTCTTTTCTTTAAACAATATTTCTGCCTGGCAGTGGTAGTGTCCACCCTTAATCCCAGCAGTCAAGAGGCAGAGGCAGGTGAACCTCCAAGTTTAAGGCCAGCGTGGTCTACAGAGTGAGTTCCAAGACAGCCAGGGCTACACAGAGAAACCCTGTCTCAATAATAATAATAATAATAATAATAATAATAATAATAATAATAATAATAATAATAATAACAATAATAATAACAATAATATTTCCATAAAGGAGTAAACTCTGTATGTGCAGTAAAAACACTGCTATCTATAACACACTGAGCTATAGCTCAGTTGACATGGTTGATTGGTGGTGTGGGGTGTAAGGGAATATCCAGTGCAAATGTGCTCAGGCCTAAGGCTGTGGTGAGGTTATACGCGTGAACACTGCCAGAAACACCTTAGATCCACTATGAATTTGATTTGAAATTAATTTATCCTTGTTGAGTGTTCAGAAACCTTTCATTGTGGCCTAATTCTTTGTTACTCCTACACTCAGCTATGTGAACCCACATGGGGCCATGACTCACAGTCCTTGGGGCCATGGACTAGACGAACCACCTTCAACTGGTCACCATGCTCTTGGCTGCTTTAATAAACCTTCTGAATCGCTTCCTGGATGGAGGACCAACGTTCCAGCCCACTGAGGTCACTCTACCACCTATTTTATTAGCCATCTCCCCAGCTGAAGATACATTTGGGGAAAATGGCTTTCACGACTTTATGCCTCACCCAAGTATCTGATGAAAATGTTATAGTGGGTCAAAAATAAACTCAGGACACAGGCAACCTCGAAGAGTTTTTCTAGAATAAAAAAACAAAACAAATAGGATTAGGTGCTACGGTGGTTTGAAGGAATATGTCCTCCACAGGTTGAGCATTTGAACATTTGGTTCCCAGTTGGTGACAAGCTGCTGGGGAAGACGATGGAACCTTCGAGAGATGGAGCTTTGTGGAAGGAAGTGCTTCAGTGAGGGTGGACTTTGTGGTTTTAGAGTCTGATCCACTTCCTGTTTCTCTGTTTCCTGTACCTGAATGAAATGTGATCTCTCTGCTTCCTGGTTTCCGGGGTGACTTCTGTTACTGCTGGCATGACTTCCCCACCAGGATGGACTGCATCCCCTGGGGACCATATGCTAATAACCCCTCCTACCCCAAGTGGCTTCTTGTCAGGGTAGTCTATGACAGCGTCAGGAAAGTAGCTAATACAGATGCCATTCTCTATCTTATATTAAGCCCCAGAAATAGATACCGTTGCCTTGTTTTAGCCATTTTGAGACTGAGGTTGAAAATCACTAGGCAGATTTTGAAGTCTTGAATCAATTAAGCAGTTGGGTTTTCATGGGAACCCATCTTATAACTGCAGAGCACGTGGTTTTTAGGTCACACAGTTGAACCCTTCACAGATCCCTGCCTTTTCAAAGATAAAGCACATGCCCCCTAAGCTGTGCTGATGAAGGTCCACACCCCAACATGGGTCTTACCTTTGTAACAATGGACCGCACCACATTAAACACTATAGTAAATCTCACATACTCTATTTCACTTAGTCTGAACACAACCCTAAGATATTATATTATAACCCTATAGATATTATAACTATACTCATTCTACTAATTCAGAGGTGAATGTACATAGATTAAAACTAGCTTGATATATAAATTAGTTACTATCTCAAAATAGTTTTTAAAATGGCTTCATGGGGCCAGTAAATGGCAGAGCTGCATCGGATCTAGGCCTGCCTGACTAAAGAGATATTTAGGAGGTAGAATTTGCAGGAATCTCCACTTGTACAACTAAGCAAGTATTTATTGAGGATCTTCGTTTCAGGCTCCATCTGGGGTTAAGCGCTGGAGAAAACAGAGATGATCAGCCAACGAGATCTTGTCTTGTTGCTGCCTGTCTTCACTGAGCACATAGTCTATAGGAAAAGACGACAGCCAAGATGAGAAGCAGTGGGGTGTGGTGAGAGCTCAGCAGGAAAAACTCTCAGTGGTAAAAACCAAGGTATTAGTGGGCGTGAGGGTCCAGTTTCAGCAAACGAGTTGGCAACGGCTGCCTTCCTACAGTGGTGAGTACAGGAGAGACAGCTTTGGAGAAAG